TTACCTTCCCTCGTTCTCTACGAACTTGGTGAGTGGTGCTGACCTACAGGATGCGGGGGTTCACCAGTTCACTCCTGCGAGTCGGCGGGTGACCCACTGCACGGACGCTCGGACAGGCCGACACCTGGCCACGTTTACCCGTCGGCCGGGGTCGAGCCTGTACACCCTGACCACTGCGTCTCCTCCGGTCACTGCGCCTGGTCAGGTAGCTGCGTCAGGTCAGGTGTTTGCTGCAGCGTCCAGGTCTGGTCCTGAGTCTGCCCCCTGTTCGTGTCGCCTCCTGTCTCACGAGACTCTCCTCTGGCACCACCGCCTTGGTCACCCCTCCCTGCTTCGTCTCCGAGGCATGGCCTCCCGTGTCCTTGTCTCTGGTCTTCCCCGGTCCCTCCCTCCCCTTCCTCCGGGGCCTGGCCCTACCTGCGTCCCCTGTGTCGAGGGGCGGCAGCGGGCTGCCCCTCACTCCTCCCAGTTTCCTCCGACAGAGGCCCCGCTGCAGACGCTTCACATGGACGTGTGGGGCCCGGCCCGCGTCCGTGGACAGGGTCACGAGCGCTACTTCCTGCTGGTGGTTGACGACTACTCGCGTTACACCACAGTCTTCCCCTTGCGCAGCAAGGGTGATGTCACTGAGGTGTTGATCGACTGGATCCGCGCAGCTCGTCTCCAACTCAGGCAGAGCTTCGGCTCGGACTTTCCTGTTCTGCGTCTGCACTCTGACAGAGGTGGAGAGTTCTCCTCTGGCCTTCTGCGAGCCTACTGTCGTGCACGAGGCATCCGCCAGACCTTCATGCTTCCGGACTCTCCACAGCAAAATGGGATTGCTGAGCGCCGCATTGGCATGGTCATGGACGTCGCCCGTACGTCCATGATGCATGCGGCTGCCCCCCATTTTCTGTGGCCGTTTGCTGTTCGGTACGCGGCGCATCAGATCAACCTTCACCCCAGGGTCTCCATGCCGGAGACCTCCCCAGCCTTGCTGTGGACGGGGAAGGTTGGCGATGCGTCTGCGTTCCGTGTCTTGGGATCTCGGGCGTTTGTCCGCGACTTGTCTGCGGACAAGCTGTCCCCTCGTGCTGCTCCTTGCGTCTTCCTTGGCTTCCCCCCTGACGCGCCAGGGTGGCAGTTCTACCACCCCACCTCTCGCCGTGTTCTGTCCTCCCAGGACGTCACGTTTGACGAGTCGGTCCCCTACTACCGCCTCTTCCCCTACCGCACTCCGTCCCTCCCCCCGCCACCGCTCTTCCTTGTACCAGGTCCCCCCCCGGTAGACCCCCTCCCCCCTCAGGGTCCTGCCCCTTCAGGTGTGTCCCAGGTAGACGCAGTCGAGCCTGTCGAGGTTACTGGTGACTCTGGTGCTGCTGAGGGTGCTGAGCCTGGGGGTGCTGACTCTGGGGGTGCTGAGCGTGTGGGTGCTACGCCTGGGGGTGCTGAGCCGGAGGGTGCTACTACTGGGGGTCCTGAGCCTGGGGGTGCTGAGCCTGGGGGTGCTACTACTGGGGGTGCTGAGCCTGGGGGTGCTGAGCCTGGGGGTGCGGAGCCTGAGGGAGCTGGGCCTGCTCGTGTGGCGTCTGGCGGTGCTGAGCCTGGAGGTTCTCCGGGTGCTTCGTCTCGGCGGGAGCCACTCTCTCCACAGGAGCTGCGCGAGTGGTTTGCCCGGCGCTGGAGGCGTGCTGCTGGAGCTGGAGGTTCTTCGGCTGCTGAGGGTGCTGGTGCCGTGGGTCCCGGAGGTGCTCGTCCTGGGAGTACTGGAGCTGCTGGGCCTGCGGGTACGACTGGAGCTGGAGCTGCTGAGGGTGTTGACGCTGAGGCTACTGCTGTCGGTCCTGGAGGCGGTCCTGCTGGGGGTACTACTGGTGCGGCTGGAGGTCCTGGAGCTGGAGGTGCTGCTGGCGCTGGTGCTGCCGCTGGGGGTACTGGTGCTGTCCCTGCTGTGTCTGGAGTCGCCGCGCGGCCTCGGCCGTACTTCGTTCCGCTCCTTCAGCAGGTTCTTGGTCTCCCGCCTTCTACTGGTCCTCCTCCTCCCTTAGAGTGTCCACAGCCTGTCCCGTCACAGTTCCAGTTACAGCCGGCCTCCCCACTGCCCGCTCCCTCTCCCTACACTGGTCCTACTGGAGGTCTTGCTGAGCGTCGTGAGCCTGCGTCCCGCCCTGCGTCGCCTGTCCGTGCTGCTCGCACTAGTGGTCGTGGTTCGCGTCAGCGTCCTCCTCCTGTCCCTGGCACGCACCGGATGTCTCTGCGTCCGTCCACTGCTCCTCTGCGTGCCCCTTTGCCTTCTCCTCCTGAGTCCTCTCTTCCTGCTCTTCCTGACCCGGAGTCGGACTCTCTTCGTGCTGCCAGTCCTACTGTCACACGTCTCCTTTCTACTGTTGTCACTGACCCTTCCTTTGAGTCCACTGCTGCGTCTGCCCTAGTTACTGAGCTCGTCGACTTTGCTGCTCGCTGTCGTCTAGACTACGCTGCTAGTCTTGTTGCTGAGTCTGTCTGTCCTCCGTCCGTCGGGGGTGAGTGTGCCCTTGGCACGGACGTCCTTGAGGACAGGCAGGAGGAGTTCCAGTGTTTGGCTGCTGCTTCACCTCATCTCGTGTCCGTACTGCTTACCCCTGAGGGAGACCCGGATGCACTTGACATCCCGACTCCGCGCTCTTACGCGGAGGCGATAGAGGGTCCCTACTCCTCTCAGTGGCAGGCAGCTATGGACGCAGAGATGGCTTCATGGAAGTCCACAGGCACCTACGTCGACGAGGTTCCCCCGCCTGGGGCGAACATCGTCAGTGGCATGTGGATTTTCAGGGTGAAGCGGCCGCCGGGTTCTCCGCCTGTCTTCAAGGCGCGTTACGTGGCTCGTGGCTTTAGTCAGCGGCAGGGAGTTGACTACTTTCAGACCTTCTCTCCCACCCCGAAGATGACCACTCTTCGGGTACTGCTGCACGTAGCTGCTCACCGCGACTACGAGCTACACTCTCTTGACTTCAGCACTGCTTTCTTGCAGGGTAGCCTGCACGAGGAGATCTGGCTGCGTCGCCCACCTGGCTTCACTGGGTCTTTTCCTCCTGGCACCCAGTGGAGCCTCCGGCGGCCAGTCTACGGTCTCCGCCAGGCACCGCGTGAGTGGCACGACACACTGAGGACTACACTTGCGGCTCTTGGGTTTGCTCCCTCTACTGCCGACCCGTCGCTGTTTCTGCGCACCGACACTTCTTTGCCGCCGTTCTACATCCTCGTGTACGTCGACGACTTGGTCTTTGCCACAGCTGACACTGCTGGACTCGCCCACGTGAAGTCCGAGCTGCAGAAGAGACACACGTGCACAGACCTGGGTGAACTGCGCAGCTACCTTGGCTTGCAGATCACCCGGGACAGAGCACGCCGCACCATTACCCTGACTCAGTCACACATGGTGCAGCAGGTCCTTCAGCGCTTCGGCTTCACGTACTCCTCGCCTCAGGCCACTCCTCTGCCTACTCGCCACTCGCTCTCAGCTCTGCCTTCGGATGAGTCCATAGAGTCGAGTGGCCCGTACCCAGAGCTTGTTGGCTGCCTCATGTACCTGATGACCTGCACACGACCTGACCTTGCATACCCTCTTAGCATTCTCGTACGCTATGTTGCTCCTGGGAGACACAGACCGGAGCACATGGCTGCAGCGAAGAGGGTGTTGCGCTACTTGTGCAGTACGTCGGGCATGGGGCTTGTGCTTGGAGGGCAGAGTCCAGTGGTCCTCACTGGGCACGCAGACGCTTCTTGGGCTGACGACCAGGCTACGCAGCGGTCGTCACAGGGTTACACCTTCAGCCTTGGTTCCGGTTCTGTTTCGTGGCGGGCTACCCGCTCGTCTTCTGTTCTCGGCTCCAGTTGTGAGGCTGAGATCTACGCTGGGGCCATGGCTGCACAGGAGCTTCGCTGGCTCACCTACCTGCTGACTGACCTCGGAGAGCCGCCTCGTTCTCCTCCAGTGCTGTACGTAGACAACAAGGCCATGCTGGCCTTGTGTCCAGAGCAGAGACTGGAGCACAGAACAAAGCACATTGCTCTCCGCTACTTCCTTGCTCGTGAGCTACAGCAGCGTGGTCAGCTGCGACTTGCGTACGTGGCCTCTCAGGCCAACACTGCTGATATCTTCACCAAGGCACTTGCGCCTTGTGATCATCAGCGTTTCTGTACTCAGCTGGGCCTTGTGCCTACCTTGCCTCACTTGCTCACCCCTTGACCTTGTTTGTACTGTTGCATATATATATACACGTGCTCTTGCTTGTCTAGCCTTATATATATATGTAATCCTGCATGTGAACTGGCCTTGTGGCCTTGAACTTGTGCTCAGAATGTGTGGTGACTTTGTGATCCACCCTGAGCTTGCTTTGCTTTGCTTGACTGGTCTTGTGACCCCTTGTTCTCCCCCACTTTGCCTATGGGGGTGTGTCAGATTTATATGACAGAGCTACTGTAGGCTATAGTGGGGTAGCACATATGGGGTACAGTTTTTCTAGGGTTTGTATTTGTACCCAACTTTCCCTTAGTCATTCTCATTCCTGTTTTCTTCATTCACAGTGTAGAGGCGAGTAGTAGGAGAAAGGGTGAAACGAGCGAGGTGCCGGTCGTGGTAATGAAGATCACAATAGAGTTCACCTGCGGGGAAGAACGATCACACGCCCAGACGTTGGAGGGCAGGGAGGGATAGGAGGTTATGACGGCAAGAGGGAACATAAAGTCCCGTAACAGCGCCAGAGGGAGAGGCAGGACAGGGAAGAGAGGAAGTGCCAGTGCAGATCATGGTCATGGTCTCCCCAGCCCCATTGATAGAGAGGGGACGAGGAAAATTGCGAAGGACACCGGCATCACGAAAGACAGAGTCAGTAGCAGCACTATCAAGGACAAAATCCAAGGTGCGAGGAAGTGAGAGAGCGGCAACCGTAGGGCTGAGAGAGTGAGAGACAGTGCTTGGAACGGGTGGAGAAAGTGGAACGACAAAACGAGGGTCCATAAGAGGAGAAGCACCAAGGATGCTATCGAGGGATGGCATGGTCACACTGAAGACAGAGGCCAGAGAACCAATACCAGAGGTGACAGCGGCACAAGAGTGGCAACGGTGATGAGACAGCGGAACCCAAGCAGAAGGGCGGAGAAGAGGGGAGGTCCATCGGCAAGTAGGAGAGGTGCAAGGGGAGGAAGGGGCAGTGAAGGGAGCGGAGATTAGGAAAGGCAAGGGTAGGAGAGGAGGTACGGCAGGAGACGGGTGAGGGCGGAAGCACAGAGGAGGAAAGGTAAGAGCGAGAATAGGCCCCATCGGGGGAAGGGGGTAGCAATGGAGCAGATGTGGGGAGATAAAAAAGGAGGAGGAATAGGGACGAGGTAGTCAGCTGCTGAGCCGTTGAGGGGTGAAATAAGAGGAGGATGGATAACGGCGGAGTAGTCTGCTGCTGCGCCGTGAAGGGGACATAAGAGGAGGAGGGATAACGGCGGAGTAGTCTGCTGCTGCGCCGCTAAGGGGAGAAATAAGAGGAGGAGGGATAATGGCGGAGTAGTCTGCTGCTGTGCCGCTGAGGGGAGAAATAAGAGGAGGAGGGATAATGGCGGAGTAGTCTGCTGCTGCGCCGCTGGGGGGAGAAATAAGAGGAGGGATAATGGCGAAGTAGTCTGCTGCTGCGCCGATGTGGGGAGAAATAAGAGGAGGGATAACAGCGGAGTAGTCTGCTGCTGCGTTGCTGATGGGAGAAAATAGAGGCGGAGGAACACAGTTGGGAAGGAGCACGGCTACGAAGCAAGGCTGGCAACCAGCTATAGCAGTAGAGGAGAGGAGAGAGGCAGAGGAGAGAATGAGATGGGGAGGGGAATGAAGGGAGAGAAGAGAGGAGGAGGAGGGTGAAGGGGTGGATGGTGAGGAGGGGTAGGTCTTGATGAGCAAGATTACGAAGCAAAGCCGACAACCAGCTGCAGCAGTAGACGAGAGAAGAGAGGCGGAGGAGAGAGTGCGATGGAGAGGGGAATGAAGGGAGAGAAGAGAGGAGGAGGAGGGTGAAGGGGCGGATGGTGAGGAGGGGTAGGTCTTGATGAGCAAAATGACGAAGCAAAGCCGGCAACCAGCTGCAGAAGTAGACGAGAGAAGAGAGGCGGAGGAGAGAGTGAGATGGGGAGGGGATTGAATGGAGAGAGGACAGGAGGAGGAGGGTGAAGGGGCAGATGGTGTGGAAGGGTAGTAGAGAAGGAGAGGAAATAGGAGGAGGAAGAAGTAAGGTGGTGCTTGAAGCACAAAGGAGAGTGGAAAGGAGGAGGGTGGGGAGGGGGGAGGGGGGGGGGGGGGGGTGGGTGGGCGGATTGAGGAAGGGGAGAGCGCGGCGGGAGGAGAGGAGGCGCTCGCGAGTGGAAGGGCGGCCACAAGAAGGGCGGCCACGTGGGGCGGGGCGGGAGCAACCAGGGGGGGGCAGAGCGCACGCGGGCACAAAGCAGGGCGCACGCGGGGCCGGGCGCACGACGGCGAAACCAGGGCGCGCGCGGCGACGAAGCAGGGTGCACACGACGAACAACAAAGCGCGCGCATCGACGGTGGTAGGGGAAGGGCGGGGGCGCGGGGCGCGACGGCTTTAGGGGTCGCGCGCCTGCCTAAGGGGAGAATCCGCGACTAAGAGAAAAGAAAAAAAAAACAAAAAACAAAAAAACCGAAATTTCAGGTTACCCAGGGGTTACCCAGGTATACTGCGAATGTTGGTGTTCGCTTAGCGTAGCCCGACTTGTATTGTGTGGCGCCGTCAGCATAACCAGATTACGCGCCAATACGAGTGTGCCAACTCAACCTATCCGAATCTGGTGCTGTAAACACGAGTGGTCATGCTGGCTACACGCACCAGATCACGAACACCAGTGTTCTGTCAACATTGTATCCGCACAATGCAATCCATCTCGCTAGTACATGACCGCATTGTAAAACAGCAACACAACAGTAACAACTTCAGGTTACCCAGCTTAGCGCAGGGAAATCTCTTTTTGTAAACTTACGTATTACAACTGAAATTACCGCATTACATTTCCGTTCATGCATCCTACTACACACTCCCAACCACATCCATCACATGTCAAGGCAAGCTGGATGAAACTCTCCAAATTGAGTCCCTATCAAATCATCCTCTCCTGGAACACCATTCTGTGCATCACTCTGATAACCATGAACTTCAACATCTTGGGCCTGAACGACAGGTTCAGTATCCACCTGCCCATCGTCCATGCCGACATCAGCGTCCTGCCCCCCCTCCTCCTCCACATCGTCCTCAGCCCCTCCCTCTGCAGACCCGGTAGGTGTCTCTGTCTGAGGAATGTCCATGTTTCCATGGCAGTCAAGCACCGCCTGCTCCCACTTTCTCCAGCGGAACCACATCCGACTCTTGACAAGGAGCTTGATGACCTTTTTGGAGCATCCTGACAGAAGGCTTTGTTCCGTTGGCGTCAACTGGATCGTCCGCGGAATGACGACGCCCGGCCTTAACACATGAGCAGCTGCGGCGTAGGCGTAAGCTGCCTCTGGCTCCTGTGTGTATGACCCCAACCGCATCTGTGTCCGCCTGGCCTTAGCAGGCTCCCTCACCAATATCTTCGCGCTCCATGTCCCCCTCTTCTTCTCACGCTGCACACCAGTGTACTGTGAGGACCCACCATTTCCCCCCCCACCATCAGCGGCTGTAGTGCCTTCCGCAGCCGCATTTCCACCCTCGACACGCGGTCGCTTCTCCCCCCTTTTCGCTGCAGGCATATCTAGCAGGACTGCTGTCGGCGCACGTACACCCGGGGCAACTTCACCGTCCCCGTTGTTAGGGGTCTTCGGGCCACCAGGACTGTCATGCACCGGAGACACATGCGATATGGTAGGAAGGGGCCGAGGGTTCTGATGGATTACGCCCAGGTCTAGGTGTGCCACGAAACCTCCCGACATCCACGATTGCGAGCCACCGTGTTCGGCGGGGAGGGGTTCACCGGTGCGCTCACCAGACAACAGAGGCGGCGACGAGGGTGATGCCCCCGGTTCAATGCTCCGATAAGCCCCTCTGTCCGTATTCACCACGTACGCGGCAGCTGCGAGCATCTGATCTCTGCTGTACCCCATGGCGTTCCCCAGTGCGGTCACTGCCGCGGCCCAGATCACATGGTCCCTCCGCAAGCCGTACACTTCGACCTGGTACTGAGCGAGACGGCTCCTCAGGTCCACCTCTTCCGACGCCCTCACAGCCCCGAGTTCCGATACACTAGGTGCATACTGCGGTGGAACGATCTTCCCCCTTGTGGTCAGCGCAGGTACCAGCTCACAGGATGCATGCGCGCACAGCTCCTCACGCATGCGCCGGCGGTACTGGCCACCGCTCACGCCGTCCAAATACAGATACTTCATCACCGTTGCGAAGTCTGACTTGACAAGGCCGCGCAAGTAGTGGCACAAGAAGACGCCACAATCAACCAGGTTGTCCTGCCTGATGAGCTGGTGCGCCTGCATGGAAGAATGTACATGCGCTTCAGTACAGGCGCTATGGCGTTTCGAAATTCAGCTCCCATCATTATACCACCCGGTCTAACACGGCTCATACCTGCATCACCTCACAGTCCGCGTTCGACAGCGTTCCCACGAGTCGCTTGTGATCGCAGTTTGGGTGCAACTGCTTGGTCGTTATATCTAGCAGCCTGTGCATGCGCACCAATACAACAAGGGGATTATTTCGCTGCAGGCGCCAACGCATTCATGATTCTTCACCCTCGGCCAACCATACTCACAGCTTCGCGTCATCAAATACGGTAGGATCCCTGGCATGTGCGCCCTCGCTGTCGAACAGGACCATCTGCAGCTTGTCGCCATCGGCCTCCACGTCCTTGCGGAACAACTTCGCCGGATCGCACACGATGATGAGCGAGTAGTGGTTTCTGTTGATGGACATGTGGAATATCACGGACTCTAGTAAGCTCACCCCTTGAAAACCGGTATGGCCAGAAAGTCGACGGCGAGCAGACCATCCCCTTTCCCGTGGTCGAACGGCTTATGGTTAGTCGTGACGTACTGATACGCCTTGCTGTCCATAACCGCCCAGGTCTTGCCATTAGGGGTCCGTGGATATTCGATGCTCAACAATCTGCTCAGCGGGGATCCGGGGGCACAGGTTAGTTGAGGTATTGGACGGACATGAGCTTCGACAGCGCAGCAAACACTCACATGTTGTGAAAGTCGATTATCGGATCGGTGAGGCACTGACCATCCGCGATGGTCACAAGATCTCTCGCGGTGACGACACACGACAGTCCGGCGCGGTTGTTCAAAGACATGGATGTGAACGAGACATCCTTACTGTTTCTGACGACGCGGGCAACCACGTCATCAGGTTCGGGGTCCACCGTATTCACTTTAACTTTCGTCTTGTACTTGGGCAGGTCGAGCTTCTGCGCGGCGCTTTTAGATTCCCGATCCACAGAACCTTGCTGCGTGCGGGCACTACTCCGAGTCGCCCTTGCGACGGCGGAAGCGGGCTTTGCGTGCGTAGGCGACGGCACCTCCATGACGTCTCCGTTGTCCGTACCACTGCGTGGTTTTTTAGCACCTACCCTGTCGCGCGCCATACCTCCACGACCATGCTGCGTCATTGAAGGGAGTTACATAAGGCTGCACACCAAAGATGGTGTCCCAAAAGAACAAAAACAGAGCAGTGCGAAGACTGGTAATCAAACTCTCTCTTCTATGCGAAATGGAACGTCATGTCCAAAAGTATTCCGCCAGCGTGCAGGATGGGCGAAGGTACTAGATCTGCACTCAGAAGGGCGGGAAATCGCCAGTACGTGACATGTGTCAAACTCGGCCCTGTCTTGCAGGCAATAAAAATCTCGAGCACGAGATGTGCTTTTTAGCGATCCAATGTGTAAACCCTTGCCAGTGCTTGCACCGATTGGTTTAAGACCGGGTTCGAGTGTACGTAGACCATCCGTGCAAGATGTTGTACCTTTATTTATCTCTACCCGCATGCTTCGCGGTGTACCCGATAGGGTGACGCACTGTAAGGACGATCCACACACAATCGAATATCACCCACCTCTGTACATCATAAAGTGATGCAAAGTACTACGGTATGTGCAATGACAACACCCGACATATTTGGGGGACCAGACAGACACGATGGTGCCAGGCAAGGCATTGCATAGCCAGACTATATCCGACATAAAGCTTTCCAGTATTGGCCAGCTAGTGCTCGGTACACTCATACGTATTCGGCTTGAAAGCAACATCTTGCTCACGACTCCATCGTGAGGTCGAGCCAGTGACAGATACTGGGGTGGATACCCACCCTTGTGTCCAATCCATCATGCGTTATTGCACGGACTTTTAGGTCTCCGTTATACGGATATGGCGGGCTGCCGCTGCAGAGGGTGTCCGCGTGTCCTTCGGGATGACTGTGCGCTTCAGTCGCACCTTGCAAAGAGCGCGGAGTGCAGACGCAAAATCCTGGGCAAGCGTGACGCACGCTTAGCAGAGGCCTATCTGGAGGCATTCGCGGCAATTTCCGCGCGTACCGTAGGGCGCCGTGGCGATACGTCTAGCCCGAAATCCCGCCCTCACGATGCAGTGGCTGCCGCTGACGTGGTAGCGGAAGCGATAGCAGGTGATGAAGGGACGGTAGATGACGAGACGCAGTCCACATGTAGTGATCAAAGCGACGACGGCAATGTCTTTGACACGCTCACAGCTATTTACCTGTTCATCCGCGATGCCGACCTTTCGCGGCGCGAAGTAAACCGCGTGTTGCACATCTTCCGCAACCCTCGCTTCAATCTCCGCGCTCTCCGCCGCTGGCGTAACCATCTAGATGTGCGACGATGGGCTAATGCAAGAGCGCCCACGGACCTGGTTCCGTGGCTTGTGGAGGAGATTATTGTCCGCGGGCCCAAAGGAGAGGTCCAGAAGTTGCTCTTACATTATCGCGACACGGAGCAGGTAAGGGTAGGGACGAGTTTCCAAACATCTTACTGCCGAATTCGCTCCGCTAATGAGCCGCAGCCCGTAACGTCGCTCGCGATGACATGCAGTTGCGAAGCTGGTGCGAGCTTTCGTCGCTGTACCAGGCTTCGTTACCAAAGCGAGGACGGAGCTGGACCCTACCACAGGCAAACGGCGCTTCAGCGACCCCGAAACTGGGAAGTGGATGCAGGAAGCAGAGGTAATCTGTGTTGTGCGCATTTGTCCTGGGGCCTGGTGTCCCAATATTGATGAGTCATGATGAGACCGATACCTGGCCGTCCTTGTTTGAGCGCAGAAAGCGATACAAGACGAGAAAGCATGGGTGTTGGGTGTCATTGTGTATAGCGATGGCACGAACGCCACTAGGAACGGCAGGCGGCAGGCTTGGCCAGTACTCATAACTCTGTTCAACATTCCTGAGCACCTGCGATGGACGGAGCCTGGTCACGTGTTGGCTACCGTGCTGCCTTTTCCTCCCGGGTGGGCTACATCAATTGAAAAAACCCGGGTCTTCCAAGAGGCCATACGCATCATATTGGCACCGCTCATGCGGGAGTCGGCTAAGTGAGTCCAAGTAGTTTTCGTGGATAGACGATGCACCTACCAATGTGATGCGTGGATTTGTTTATTGCTGTTCATTGAACGTGGCGATGTGTGTCAGTGCACCATGCAGTCCTTGATTAGCCGGGCGTCTTCCTGATGATCGTACAACTATGTGTGGAACTGCCTGTTGAACCAGCTGTCCCATCCGTTTTTTCTACGTGCCGGACGCTAACGGGGAGCTAGTGAAGGCGGTCCCCTGCTACTACGCTTACCCTGCGGACTTCATCGAGGCATGCCGTGCTACTGCCACCATGCAAACCGGGATCAAGAGACCCTGCACCACATGCTACGTGGAGGAGGATGATCTGGCAAACCTAAAGCTCAATTCTACCATCAGGACCCTTGCTTCTCAAGAGCATGCGGTGCAGCAGATTCTTGCTTGCAAGACCTTGAAGGCGGCTGAGAAAGTGCAATCGGAATGGTCAACTCACCCGATTGAGGTATGTTGCAATATATACAGCACAGCAACATCTTGGGCCTGTGGCACGAAGAGAAGGTATGCCGTTACTGACTTTGGTACACGAGTGTCTTAACGTGCAGTGTGTGCTCAGCAGGTGGAACTTCTCGGACACCGAGTGGGGAAACCCATACGGTGCAAGCGTGGCCGACACTATACATGTGCTAGATTCCTGAGTTGCTCTGCATATGATCGAGTGCCACATCGACACTCTCAGCAAGCCTGAGCGGCGCGTGGTGGAGGGGTGCGTGCAAGCGATCGGTTTGATAAGAGTTTATGTAGAAGGCTGTCATTCAACACATCTCCTCAAACCTCCTTTCGGTTGTGATACCTAAACCCTCCGTGCAGGAGAAAGAAGACCACAAAGACAGAGACGCCGAGCACAGTGCTCCGGCTGCCGGGAGGGAACTCTTATCTTGCCAGTGGGGCAAACTACGCGGCGTTTGAGCACCGCGCCATGATGCAAGTAATGCCCATACTGGTGGCGGACAAGGGGGCGCTTGGAAAGGGGCCGGACGCAGAGCTGAGGGCTATGAGAGTGCGTGCTTTCCGGTTGTACGCCACGTTCTACAAGGCCTTTCTTGGCGTGGATGGTCACAAGAGGGCGTCGCTCGCAAACGCAAGGGAGCTCGCCTACAAGTGAGCACCGCTTGTCTGATGGCATTTATTTGTGTGGGAGCTACACTAGACGGACAAACAGACTTAAGTGATTTGAGTCTATACCACTTGGTGCGATGGCACAATGCAGGCTGGTCGACCTTCTCCCACGAGCATACCCCGATCAGAAGTCGGGATGGCGGTTCCCTAAGGTGCACATGATCAAGCACCTGCTGGAGAATGTGATTCTCAGGGGCATGCCGCACCACTACAACACGGAGCTGTGGGAGCATACCCACAAGGGCACAGTCAAGGTGCCAGTGCGAGGCGGCAACTGGAAAGACATCCCCCAGAGGATAGTCGAGGAGGAGGTGCAACGGGAGATTTGCCGCGAGGTGGCGGCTAATGCAGGCGGTGGGTGGCAGTACACCACCGCTCTCAGAGAGGTAGGTGTCAGAATCAACAAGAGTGATTAAACTAGGAAAGAGTTGGGTACAAGTAGGAAACCCTAAACTTAGTGTACCCCATAGTAACTACCCCACTACAGCCTAAACAAACTGTAGCAGATATGACATTTGACACACCCCCATTGGCAAAGTGGGGGAGAGCAAGGGGTCACAAGACCAGTCAAGAGAGGCAAAGCAAGCTCAGGGTGGATCACAACGTTACCACACACTCTGAGCACAAGCAAAGAGCTACAGGGCCAGTTCACATGCAGAGGCATATATGCAACACAAACAGCACAGTGATCTCTACCTAGCAAAGCAAGCATGCAGGTATATATACAAATCACAGTACAAGCAAAGCCTACAACAGGTGAGGAAAAGCGGGCACAAGCCCTAGCATAGTGCAGAAACGCTGATGATCACCAGACGGAAGTGCCTTGGTGAATATATCAGCAGTGTTGGCCTGAGTGGCCACGTAACGCAGACGAAGCTGACCACGCTGCTGCAACTCTCGAGCCAGGAAGTAACGCAGAGCGATGTCCTTCGTTCTGTGCTCCAGTCTGTGCTCCTCACACAAGGCAATGGTAGCCTTGTTGTCGACGTACAGCACTGGAGGAGAACGAGGCCGCTCTCCCAAGTCGGTCAGCAGGTAGGTGAGCCAGCGTAACTCCTGTGTAGCCATGGCTGTGGCGTAGATCTCAGCCTCACAACTGGAACTGAGAACTGAAGACAAGCGAGTAGAACGCCAAGAAACTGAACCAGAGCCAAGGCTGAAGGTGTAAACCCGTGACGACCGCTGAGTAGCCTGGTCGTCAACCCAAGAAGCGTCTGAGTGCCCCGTGAGGACAACGTCGCTCTTCCCTCCAAGCATTAGCCCCATGCCTGATGTGCTGCACAAGTAGCGCAGTACCCTCTTAGCGGCGGCCATGTGCTCAGGTCGGTGCCGACCAGGAGCCACGTAGCGAGCCAGCAGACCAAGAGAGTACGCGAGGTCAGGACGAGTGCAAGTCATCAGGTACATGAGGCAGCCAACTAGCTCTGGGTAAGGACCACTCGGCTCTACGGACTCGTCCGAAGGTGGAGCTGAGAGCGAGTGGCCTGTAGCCAGAGGAGTGGCCTGTGCCGAGGACCAGGTGAAGCCGAAGCACTGAAGGACCTGCTGCACCATGTGTGACTGAGTCAGTGTGATGGTGCGGCGTGCTCTGTCCCGGGTGATCTGCAAGCCAAGGTAGCTGCGCAGTTCACCCAGGTCTGTGCACGTGTGTCTCTTCTGCAGCTCCGACTTCACGTGGGCGAGAGCCTCAGTGTCAGCAGTGGCAAAGACCAAGTCGTCGACGTACACGAGGATGTAGAACGGCGGCAGCGAGGTGTCGGTGCGCAGAAACAGCGACGGGTCAGCAGTAGAAGGCGCGAACCCAAGAGCCGCAAGTGTAGTCCTCAGTGTGTCGTGCCACTCACGTGGCGCCTGGCGGAGACCGTAGACCGGCCGCCGGAGGCTCCACTGGGTACCAGGAGGAAACGACCCAGTGAAGCCAGGAGGGCGGCGCAGCCAGATCTCCTCGTGCAGGCTGCCCTGCAAGAAAGCTGTGCTGAAGTCAAGAGAGTGAAGCTCGTAGTCACGCTGAGCGGCAACGTGCAGCAGCACTCGAAGAGTGGTCATCTTCGGGGTGGGGGAGAAGGTCTGGAAGAAGTCTACTCCCTCTCGCTGACTGAAGCCTCAAGCAACGTACCGAGCCTTGAAGACAGGCGGAGAACCTGGCGGCCGCTTCACCCTGAAAATCCACATGCCACTGACGATGTTCGCCCCAGGAGGGGGAACCTCGTCGACGTAAGTGCCAGTGGACTTCCAGGATGCCATCTCTGCATCCATGGCTGTCTGCCACTGAGAGGAGTACTCACCCGCGATCGCCTCAGCGTAAGAGCGCGGGGTCGGGATGTCTGGAGCATCCGGGTCTCCCTCAGGTGCAATCAGCATGGACACGAGATGAGGTACAGCAGCGGCAAAGCACTCAAACTCTTCCTGCCTGTCCTCAAGGACGTCCGTGCCAAGAGCACACTCACCCCCGACGGACGGAGGACAGACAGACTCAGACTCAGACTCAGCAAGAAGACTGGCAGCGTAGTCTAGACGACAGTGAGCAGCAAAGTCGACAAGCTCAGTAACTAAGGCAGACGCAGCAGCTTACGCAAAGGAAGGGTCAGTGACAGCAGTGGCTAGGAGACGCGTGACAGTAGGACTAGCAGCACGAAGAGCGTCAGACTCCGGGTCAGCAAGGGCAGGAAGGGAGGACGCAGGAGGAGAAGGAAGAGGGACACGCTGCGGAGCAGTGGAAGGACGCAGAGTCATATAGTGTGTGCCAGGGACAGGCGGAGGACGCTCACGCGGGGCACGACGACCAGTGCGAGCAGCACGAACAGGCGACGCTCGACGAGACACAAGCGACACAGGACGAGACTCAGGCTCACGACGCTCTGTAAGACCTCCTGTCGGACCAGTGTAGGGAGAAGGACCAGGGAGTGGCGAGGCAGGCGGTAACTGTGACTGCGACTGGACAGGTGGAGGACACTCTAAGGGGGGAGCAGGACAAGGAGAAGGCGGCTGACCAAGAACCTGCTGAAGGAGGGGAACGAAGTACGGCCGCGGCCGAGTAGTGCCCCCAGAACCAGCAGAGACAGCACCAGAACCTCCAGCAGCAGCTCCAACTCCTGCAGCACCACCAGTAAGACCAGCAGCGCCAACTCCAGTACCCCCAGCAGCACCAGCTCCAGCCGCACTGTCGGCTCCAGCACCAGGAGGAGGACGAGTGTCAGCACCTCCAGCTCCAGCCCCTGCAGCACCACCAGCCGCAGTACCAGTAGCCCCTCCAGCAGCTCCAGTAGCACCCCCAGTCCCAGTAGCTCCAGTACCGCCAGTACGAGCACCTCCAGGACCAGTGGCTCCAGCACCTCCAGCGCCAACACCAGGGTCAGCAGCGACACCAACTCCAGTAGGCCCAGCGTCCTCAGCTCCAGCTCCAGTAGCACCTCCAGTGCCCACAGCACCACGGCGGCGACAGTACCGAGAGTACCACTCACGCAGCTGCTGGGGAGAGAGAGCGCCCCCAGGCGCAGCACCCCCAGGCTCAGGACCTCCAGGCGCAGTACCCCTAGTCTCCGCACCCCCAGGCTCAGCACCCCCAGTCTCCGCACCCCCAGGCTCAGCACCCCCAGGCTCAGCACCCCCAGTCTCCGCACCCCCATGCTCAGCACCCCCAGTCTCAGCACCCCCAGACCCAGCACCACCAGGCTCAGCACGCTCAGCACCTCGCGCAGGACCAGAGTCGACAGCTACCTCGACAGGCTCGACCGGGTCTACCTGGGAAACACCTGAGGGAGCAGGACCCTGGGGAGGCAGGGGGTCTACCAAAGCAGCACCTGGCGTGAGGAAGAGCGGCGGGGGGGGGAGCGGGGCAGTGCGGTAGGGGAAGAGACGGTAGAAGGGGACCGACTCGTCAAACGTGACGTCCTGAGAGGCAAAGACACGGCGCGAGGTGGGGTGGTAAAACTGCCAGCCAGGCGCGTCAAGGACAAAGCCCAGGAAGACACAAGGAACGGCACGGGAGGAGAGCTTGTCCGCGGACGTATCGCGGACAAAGGCACGAGATCCCCAGACCCGGAAACGCGACGCATCGCCAACCTCTCCCGTCCAACGCAGTGTCGGCGAGGTCTCCGGAACGGAGACACGGGGCCAGAGGTTGAGCTGATGCGCGGCGTACAGGGCCGCAAACGGCCACTGAAAATGGGGGGCAGCCGCATGGACCAAGGAGGTACGAGCGACCTCCATGACCAAGCCAATGCGGCGCTCAGCAACCCCATTCTGCTGAGGAGAGGTCGGAAGCGTGAACGTCTGCTCAATGCCCTCCCCCTGACAGAAGGCCTCCAAGAGGCCGGAGGAGAACTCACCACCTCTGTCAGAGTGCAGGCGCAGGACGGGAAGGTCCGAGTGAAAGCGCCTCTCCAGCTGGAGACGGGTAGCGCCGATCCAAGGGATCAAGACAGCAGGGACCTCTCCCTTGGTGCGCAAGGGGAAGACCGTGGTGTAACGCGTGTAGTCGTCAACTACCAGCAGGAAGTAGCGCACTCCGCCCTGTCCACGGACGCGGGCTGGGCCCCACACGTCCATGTGAAGGGTCTGCAGAGGAGCCTCTGTCGGGGGGAACTCAGAGGAGTGCGGGGTGGCACGCTGCCGTCCCTCGACACAGGGAAGGCAGGGAGGGGCAGGGGACGGTGGCAGGGGAGGCAGTGACCTGGGGAGACCAGAGACAAGGAAGCGAGAGTGCATGCCACGAAGGCGCTGCATCGAAGGGTGACCAAGGCGGTGGTGCCAGAGGACCGTCCGGTGCGACAGGGTGCGACACGAGCAGGGGGCGGACAACTGACCTAACGCAGACGCAGACGCCGCTACCTGAGGGGACTCAGTGGTCAGTGTGTACAAGTCCGACCCCGGCTGCCGAGTGAAGGTAGCCAGGTGACGACCCGTCTGGGCACACATGCAGTGTGTCACACGCTCGTAGGCAGGGGTGATCTGGTGAACACCCGCGTCCTGGAGCGCGGAACCCGCCACCAAGTTCGAAGAGAACGAGGGGAGGTAAAGGCCCGACAGTGTGCCGGACGGGACAGCAGGACAAGGGAGGGCAGTGGTGGAGGTCGCAAGGACCGGACCCCCGGAGGGGTCAGCCAGGGAGACAGCAACCGGTCTAGGGAGCTGCTCTAGGGCAGTGCGGTCGCGAAAGAAACAGCGGGAAGCACCTGAGTCCAGTGTGAAGGTGTGCAGTGCCGCAGTAGACGCAGTACCTGAAGACGCAGACTCACAAGCACCTGAAGCAGCAAACACACCTGCACCTAGAGCAGCAGCCTCACCAGGACCTGGGGCAGCAGACGCACTAGCACCTAGAGCGGCAGCAGACTGGATACCGGGGTCAGGCGGCACACACAGGTGACAGGCTCCCTCGGCACTAGTAGACAATGCATACATTGCAGTGAGAATAGCATCATAGTCAAGAGCAAAGATATCTACCCTCTGCCTAAGCAGCTCCACCCAGTCGGGGAGCTCAGCGTCGTCGCCAAACTCTGTACGCCAAGCGTCGCTCAGACGGGCGAAGCAGCGAGACTCTGTGTGACCAGGCGTCCCGCAAGGCTGACCAGTCCGGACACCCGTGCTAATAATGTACGGGCAGCGAGCAGTACTCAGCGACCCTCTACTCTGAGCGTACCACTCACGAAGCTGCTGGGGCGAACGAGTCTCGCGCGGACGACGCTGCTGCTGCACCGGGCCACTACAAGAAACTCCCAAACTACCCACTCCAGGACGACTCCCACTACTGCCACCCCGACAACCCCAACTGGCATACCACTCACGAAGCTGCTGGGGCGTGAGGGACACACACGGACGGCCCTGGAGCTGCATCTGGCCACGCCAGGAGCAGCAGTAGAAGCAGTAGTAGCAGCAGTAACAGCAGTAGCAACACGGGCAGGGCAGTGCTCACCAGTGGTGGGAAGGGTAGGCGCACGACGGAGGCGACTGCGGGGCCGCTACAGTGGCAGGGAGCTCCGCGGCAGTTGCTGCAGGGCGAGACCGGGCCGCGACGGCAGCTGGTGCAGGGCAGGGACAGGACCGCGACGGTCGCTGCTGCAGGGGCGGCTGCTCCAGGGGCCAGAGGCGGCTGCTGCAGTGGCGGCTGCTCCAGGGGCGGCTGCTCCAGGGGCGGCTGCTCCAGGGGCCAGGGGCGGCTCCTGCAGTGGCTGCTGCTCTAGTGGCCAGGGGCGGCTGCTCCAGGGGCCAGGGGCGGCTGCTTGCAGGGGCGGCTGCTCCAAGGGCGGCTGCTCCAGGGGCCAGGCGTGGGGTAGGTCAGGGGCGACGCGGCGGGCAGGGGCGACGCGGCGGGCAGGGCGAAGCGGCGGGCAGGGGCGACGCCGCGGGCAGGGGCGACGCGGCGGGCAGGGAGACGCGGTGGGCAGGGGCGACGCCGCGCGGGCCCCGCAGGGGCGTCGCGACGAGCGGGGGCGACGCCCGGGTCCCGCTGGGGCGGCGCGACGCGCAGGAGCCGCGCCTCGCGGGTCCCGCAGGGGCGTCGCGAAGAGGCAGGGGCGACGTGCGGGTCCCGGTGAGGTGTCGCGACGAGGCAGGGGGCGACGCGCGCGGGTCCCGGCGGGCTGCAGTCGCCGGCGTGCAGCAGCCGCGGGCGGCGTACGGGCTGCCTACGGGCGGCAGCGGCCTACGGGCGGCAGCGGCCTACGGGCAGCGTACGGGCGGCCTACGGGCGGCGTACGGGCTGCCTACGGGCGGCAGCGGCCTACGGGCAGCGTACGGGCTGCCTACGGGCGGCAGCGGCCTACGGGCAGCGTACGGGCGGCCTACGGGCGGCTTAAGGGCGGCCTACGGGCGACGGCAGGCGACGGGCAGCCTACGGGCGGCGGCCTACGTGCAGGCAGGTCGCGGGCAGCTCGAGGGGCCGCGCGAGGCCGGTATGAACTGCGTGGGCGGCTAGTGGGCTGCGCGCGCACGGGCAGAGGACGGCGGGGCGCGCGAGGGCGCACTAGCAGAAAGAAGGCGCACGAGGGCGCACGAGCAGAGAACGGCGCACAAGGGCGCACGAAAGGTAGGGCGCACGAGGGCGCGTCTAGCGGAATAGTGGGCCCGTAGTAGTAAGCGGTCCTAGGTGGCTAACCTAGGCTCGTGATACCATGTCAGAATCATCAAGAGTGATTGAACTAGGAAAGAGTTGGGTACAAGTAGGAAACCCTAAACTTACTGTACCCCATAGTAACTACCCCACTACAGCCTAAACAAACTGTAGTAGATATGTCATTTGACAGTAGGGTAGCATTTCGATCTTGCTGTATGGTTCCCCTTGTAGGTGAGGTACAATGCAGCCACACCCCGGCTGGTGGTAATGTACATTGCATTCACCGATGTGCAGGCCGTGCGGACCAAGAAGCCGGTCCTCACGAGGAAGGGGCGGCTCATGGTGCCTGGGGTGGAGGATGATGCCGTCTTGGCGATGTACAACGTGGCGCACGGTGACGACATGAAGGATCTAGTGGGATGCATGCGGGCAGCTGGGGTGAAGGCGGAGCGCGTCCAGGTATGGCAGTTATTGCGGGGTGTGCTGGTGGGATGCGTAATTGAGACCTGAGATGACTGATCATGTGCATCCCGCATTTGTGTTCCACAGGCACACACCGCCGTGGCCATACCGCGCACGCGGGGGGGAGCTTTGGTGGCGAAGGGCACGTTTGTGAAAGCGAGCCCGGGGGAGAAGTGGTTTTCAGATGTGGCCCTGTTATCTCCTAAAGGGGGGGAGTGGTTTGCAAAGGTGTTGTGCATCTTCAAGGCGGCTGGGGATGAGGGTGAGCCTAAGGGCTACATGTACGTGCGGTACTTTGAGCAGGCTGGAATCTGCCCCCTGACCACATGCATCCAGCTAACACCCCACCAAAAGGAGACCAGGTTTGCTGTGGTAGAGGTGGCGACGATTCTGAGGGTGGTGCACATTTGCCGGAGCTTCAGTAACCCCAAGGTGCTCCTGGTGAACAAGTTTCTGCTTATAGAGTGATCTGGTCGGCGAAAAATTGACTGTGGCAAGGACACAGGTGTTCTGATGGCGGCGTTGTCACAGCGGTGTTCATGCGTGGGGTAGAGCAGGAACCGTGGCTAATAGGCTGTATGGCGTGGTGTTGGCTAGGGTATCAGCGCTTTGATTAACATATGCATGGCGTACACACAAAACATTATGAGTAGACAACTAGTTAAACCATAATGGCTCCCGGCGAGCGTTTGGTTAATTGTGTAGGTTGGGGTTCGAATCTGTAAACCCTGGGCAAGATTTGTGGAGTGCGAAGTGTGAATGCTGTTTAAGCATGCACTGTGTGGTATCGAGTCAGTATACAATCATGGAGTGTGCTGTTAACAGGCTTGTATTCGGGCGAATACCCAACCATGCTGTGTTTTATATGCCGTATACAGGAGTTGGCGGAGTGAACTGTGCGGACGCTGTTCAACGGTGTGCATTCGTGTTAAGAGGGGTTGAGGATACCGGGCCAATTCGGCGAACCCCATTGGTGCGATGTTGTTCCCCACTGAAATGATGCCACCTAGTACGGGTGATGTGTACTATATATGGTCACCGTTCAATGAAATCCGTGGTGCGCACCGTGTGCGGCAAGAGGATGATGTGACAGGTGGGGCGTTTAGCGGAGCCAATCTGGAGCCGTACCTCAGGTAGTTCGGGATAAGGCGACGAGGCTTGATACGTTCCCCCATTTCGTCAACCTCGGATCGTTCCGTCTAAGTACTCGAACCCTAGCGGGGCAGAGCATAAGAGCGCATATCAAGTCTGCGTTTGTGCTAGCCCGAAGTGATACTACACCATGGCAGCGGTAGTGGCTCTCCTGGAGGCTCTCAACGCACATCCTGACGATGTGTACATGTTCGCAGAGTTTCCGTTTATACCTACGAGGCTCCCAGTCTCGTCTGTTATGGACGACCAGTTTGGTATTGCGCGCGAGTGGCATATGCCGGTGTGTGTGCTGGTCAACGCGTCCGGTTCCAAGTGGCGTCATCCGCTTTTGGTGTTGAGGCGTGATGATGGCCGGGCCGTACACAATGGGCGGCGTCGTGAGCATAAAGTTGTGGTGCGCTACGCAAAGAACGGGCGCATGTCATCTGAGGTGAGCATCGGTGCGGTTTGATGGCCGATGGGAGCAATGCTACTTGTTATGAGGCTGGTGCTGATTGCCTAAATTGTATGGATTTTGAACCGTCTGAACAGCTGTTCACGGAGCACATGGTGAAGTTCGACGTGGATCTCTTCGCAAAGAACGAGCGAGCAATTGTCCTGGTGTACGACCCGAAACACGTGCTTACTGGTTGTGTGTTTGAGTCGGAGACAGTTGCTGGGTTTGCGGTGCAGAATCTGCTGAGTGTCAAGGTGGTGCAGCTTTATGGCAGGGCCCCCCGGTGCAGCATGCCATCGACGACCGGGGTGGTGGACACGGTCAAGGCAATACACCGATACTGGTTCATGAAGGACGCAATGGACAGCAACGAGTGGAAGAAGAAGGGGGAGGTACCGCGACCGTCACTTCCTGACGTGTTGAAGAGGCTGGAACTGGCGTGCAAATTGACGACGCCGACGGCAATTCAGAGGAGCTGGTGGCGCGCGGGTTGTGTGCCGACGGCGTGGGTGTCGCTGATGAAACGCCTGGATGGCGCTGGCGCTGCTTTGATGTTTGAGCCCATTGTCAGCGAACTGACAATGCTGCAGATGGCTATTGAGAATTTCAAGAGGGTCCCTGGTATGTATATGACTTCGTGGGATTTTGTGGGATGCGACGAGGACCTGCTCATGAAGTGGGGCGTGCTTAAGGCGGAGGGTGTGGAGGACGAACAGGATGAAGAGGAGATACCGGCGTACTTTTGTATCCCTGAAGGGCCACTGTTTCGGGACGTGCGCAGCCGGCGAAGGGTGGTGCGGATGGTGGCGGGCGAATACAGTCAGGAGGCGGACAAATTGGGCATCCCGGTTAGCAAGGTGCCTGAGACAATGGGCGCGCATAACGAGGAGGTGATAAGCCGCCTACGAAGGACGCCTACTAAGCGTACTCGTCACGGAGGTGCGGGAGGCGGCCCGCCTAGTGGGATGGCCGACGGGGTTGAGGGCAGTGTGGTGTGTAATGAGGGCATGCCGGGGATAAACGGAGATAGTGGTAGTGCACTGGGCGGTGAGCAGTAGAAAAGGGCATGGTGAAGCACGTTGTATTGTATGAGTATATTGAAGGAAAATTGCTGGAACCTTGCATTTACACGGAGGTCTGACTAAGTGGAGACATAGACCGTGATTGTTTGTGTCAGAAGATAGGAGGTTGCGTTGCGGACAGGCTGGAGACAGTCTCCGTCCAATGTTTGAGGTCGTGGTGTGCGCTCTACGTAACCGAAGTGCGTTGGTGTTCTGCTGGACGCAGTGTTATGGAACGCAGTTGGACATGCAATGTCGAGTATGTTGGGGTGCGATTCGACCGGGCCGCGCATCCCTTGGAAATCTGAAATCTACAATGAGTTTCTTCGGGGGATGGGGCGGGACATACGTGTTCCCGCCAAAAGGGCGCGACTCGGGTGTGGCGAGTCCCTTGGGTGGGAATATGGTGCGGATTGGGGTGGGAGCTTTCTGGATACTTCCGGAAACATTCTGGCAACTTTTTGGACGAGTACCCCGTTTTCGGATACTCGGGCTCAAAACCTTTTCCGCGATGGCATCGTGGCGCCAACTCGCCGCGGCACCTCTCGCACGCGCCCTCCACTCACGGCGGCATCGCTTTCTGTTCGTTTGTCTATCATCTCCCACGCGCCGGCAAACGACGGCATGTTGGCGGGTCTATGGTATACTGGTCGCAATTAACGCCACTTGTCGCAGGTCGCCGCCACTTGGCAGGAGAACGCCGACTAAATAAAAAAACACATCCCTCTCAGATTTATATGACAGAGCTACTGTCAGAACATTATAGCTTATGCTGTTGTGTAGGCTATAGTGGGGTATCCCATAGGGGGTACAACCAATTAGGGTTTCATATTTGTACTCACTTCATTTCATAGTTCACCCATTTCTTGTTCAAATCTTCTCATGGTATCGAGCAGGTTCCCCCTTGGGAACTGTGCTTAGGGCCCACCACATCGATTTTTTTTCCTGCCCGAAGCGCGCTCAGCCCGAGTCGCGCTCCGGGCCCTCACTTCGTCGAGCCGCCCTAGCGGCCCTTCACTGCGGCCCCGCCACCCGTCTCCGCGGCCCCGCCGCCCGTCTTCGCGGCCCCGCCGCCTCTCTCCTAGCGGCCCCGCCGCCCTACCTAGCGGCCCCGCCGCCCTACCTCGCGGCCTCGCCGCCCCATTGCGCGGCCCCGCCACCCTACCTAGCGGCCCCGCCGCCCCATCGCGGCCCCGCCGCCCCATCGCGCGGCCCCGCCGCCCAACCTAGCGGCCCCGCCGCCCTTCCTCGCGGCCCCGCCGCCCCATCGCGCGGCCCCGCCGCCCTACCTAGCGGCCCCGCCACCTTACCTGCGGCCCCGCCACCTTACCTGCGGCCCCGCCCTTACCTGCGGCCCCGCCCTTACCTGCGGCCCCGCCGCCCTCTGCTGCGGCCCCGCCACCTTACCTGCGGCCCCGCCACCTTACCTGCGGCCCCGCCGCCCTCTACTGCGGCCCCGCCACCCTATCTGCGGCCCCGCCACCCTACCCGCGGCCACGCCGCCCTTACCAGCGGCCCCGCCGCCCTTACCTGCGGCCCCGTCACCTGCTGCCCAGCCATGCCGCCCTGCAGCAGCACAGCCGAGCCGCCCAGCAGCCGAGCCGCCGAGCCGCCCAGCAGCCGAGCCGCCCAGCAGCCGAGCCGCCGAGCCGCCCAGCAGCCGAGCCGCCCAGCAGCCGAGCCGCCCAGCAGCCGAGCCGCCCAGCGGCCGCGCCGCCCAGCAGCCGAGCCGCCCAGCAGCCGAGCCGCCCAGCAGCGGGGCCGCCGAGCCGCCGGGCCGCCCAGCAGCTGAGCCGCCGAGCCGCCGCGCCGCCCTCCTTCAGGGCCGCCCGACCTGCCCAGTCTGGTGAGCACAGCGCCTTTTCACTGCACTGTCCTCACCCTACTGTTTGCGCTGCTAGTCGTCTAGGGTCATGGCTACCCCTAGTGTTCTCGCCTTTGACGCTGAGGGTAGGGCCATTGACTTTGAGGTCTGGGTGGATGATCTGCAGCTGTTCTTACAGTGCGATAGGGCAGACGGCCTCTCTCTCTTTGACCTCACCTCTGGCACCTCCACTGCCCCTGCTGCTGATGCTGACGCCACTGTTCGCTCCCAGTGGGCCACGCGCGACGCTGCTGCACGTCTTGCTGTGCGTCGCCACCTCCCCACCTCCGAGCGTGCGCACTTTAGTCAGTACAAGAGTGCTCAGACCTTGTACGACGCTGTAGTTGCGCGCTACTCCTCCCCTGCCACTGCTGCACTGAGCCGTCTCATGCTACCGTACCTCTTTCCTGACCTTGCTGCCTTTCCCACAGTCACTGACCTCATTACGCACCTCCGCACTAGTGACACTCGCTACCGCGCTGCACTCCCTCCTGACTTCTGCGCCAGGAACCCCCCCCCCATGTACATCACTCTTTACTACATAGTCACTCGCCTTCCTGACTCCCTTCGCGTAGTCAGGGACCACTTTCTCTCTGTCTGTCCCACCACTCTCACTGTTGACCTCCTCGAGAAGTCCCTCCTAGCGGCCGAGAAGAGCATAGTCGCTGTAGGGGCCTCTCGTGGTGACCCGCGCACCCCCATCTTTGAGGGGTGTTCCCCCTCCCCCCTTCTGCCCTCTGTTGCCTCTGCTGTTGCGGCCGACCTCCTTGTTCTTGAGTCGGTCGGTGCGGCGTCTGCCCCTAGCGGGAGACGCCGCTCTGGCAAGGGCAAGGGGGGCAAGGGCGCTGGAGGAGCGAGCGGGGGCGGTGGAGGTGGAGGTGGCGGCAGTTGGGGGAGTGGGGGTGGCGGTGGGAGTGGAGGTGGGGGTGGAGGGGTCGGTGGCGGCAGTGGAGGTGGAGGTGGCGGCGGCGGTGGCGGTGGGAGCGGAGGTGGCGGAGGTGGCGGAGGTGGAGGCGGCGGCGGAGGCGGAGGCGGCGGCAGTAGCGGAGGCGGCGGAGGCGTCGGAGGCGGCGGGGGTGGCGGTGGTGCTGGTCGCGGGTCTTCGCAGAGGAGTGGCTCCGGTGGTGGCTCGCGCCAGCAGCAGCAGCGTGGTCGTGACACCCTGTCCCCTCAGCAGCTTCGTGAGTGGTACACTGCGCGTCAGCGGGGTGGGGGTTTTGGTCCGTGCTCCTACGTTTTGCGCACTGGCGACCGTGCGGGTGAGCAGTGTGGGGGTGCCCACCCCACCCAGCGCTGCTTTGGCCGCCTGACGGACGCGTGGCGTCACCGGTTCCCGGAGGCCTCCGAGATCCCTCGCTGGGGCGAGCTGTCTAGGGCGGGTGTTGCCATCTATGATCTTGACTTTGATGCTATTCTCTCTGCCATGTATGCTGTGTCTATTAGTGATGAGGGTGACTGGCGGTGCTGCGCCTGGGGGTGCTGAGCCTGGGGGTGCTGAGCCTGGGGGTGCTGAGCCTGGGGGTGCTGAGCCTGGGGGTGCTGAGCCTGGGGGTGCTGAGCCTAGGGGTGCTACGTCTGGGGGTGCTGAGCCTAGGGGTGCTACGCCTGGGGGTGCTGAGCCTGGAGGTGCTCCGCCTGGAGGTTCTCCGAGTGCTTCGTCTCGCCGGGAGCCACTTTCTCCACAGGAGCTGCGTGAGTGGTTTGCCCGGCGCTGGAGGCGTGCTGCTGGTGCTGGAGGTCCTTCGGCTGCTGAGGGTGCTGCGGTCGCGGGTCCCGGAGGTGCTCGTCCTGGGTGCACTGGAGCTGGTGCTGCTGAGGGTGTTGGCGCTGAGACTACCGCTGGCAGTCCTGCTGGGGGTGCTCCTGGTGCTGCTGGAGGTTCTGGAGCTACTGGTGGTGCTGCTGGAGCGGGTGCTCCTGCTGAGGGTTCTGGTGCTGTCCCTGCTGCTTCTAGCGTCGCCGCGCGGCCTCGACCGTACTTCGTTCCACTCCTGCAGCAGGTTCTTGGTCTTCCACCTTCTACTGGTCCTCCTCCTCCCTTAGAGTGTCCACAGCCTGTCTCGTCCCAGCTACAGTTGCAGCCTACCTCCCCTTTGCCTGCTCCTTCTCCCTACACTGGTCCTACTGGAGGTCTGGCTGAGCGTCGTGAGCCTGCGTCTCGCCCTGCGTCGCCTGTCCGTGCTGCTCGCACTAGTGGTCGCGGTTCGCGTCAGCATCCTCCTCCTGTCCCTGGCACGCACCGGATGTCTCTGCGTCCGTCCACTGCTCCTCTGCGTGCCCCTTTGCCTTCTCCTCCTGAGTCCTCTCTTCCTGCTCTTGCCGACCCGGAGTCGGACTCTCTTCGTGCTGCCAGTCCTACTGTCACGCGTCTCCTTTCTACTGTTGTCACTGACCCTTCTTTCGAGTCTACTGCTGCGTCTGCTCTCGCTTAGACTACGCTGCTAGTCTTGTCGCTGAGTCTGAGTCTGTCTGTCCTCCGTCCGTCGGGGGTGAGTGTGCCCTTGGCACGGACGTCCTTGAGGACAGGCAGGAGGAGTTCCAGTGTCTGGCAGCTGCCTCACCTCATCTCGTGTCCGTACTGCTTACCCCTGAGGGAGACCCGGATGCACTTGACATCCCGACTCCGCGCTCTTACGCGGAGGCGATAGAGGGTCCCTACTCCTCTCAGTGGCAGGCAGCTATGGATGCAGAGATGGCTTCCTGGAAGTCCACAGGCACCTACGTTGACGCTGTCCCCCCTCCTGGGGCGAACATCGTCAGTGGCATGTGGATCTTCAGGGTGAAGCGGCCGCCGGGTTCTCCGCCTGTCTTCAAGGCGCGTTACGTGGCTCGTGGCTTCAGTCAGCGGCAGGGAGTTGACTACTTTCAGACCTTCTCCCCCACCCCGAAGATGACCACTCTTCGGGTACTGCTGCACGTTGCTGCTCACCGTGACTACGAGCTGCACTCTCTTGACTTCAGCACAGCTTTCTTGCAGGGCAGCCTGCACGAGGAGATCTGGCTGCGTCGCCCACCTGGCTTCACTGGGTCTTTCCCTTCTGGTACCCAGTGGAGTCTCCGGCGTCCAGTCTACGGTCTCCGCCAGGCGCCACGTGAGTGGCACGACACACTGAGGACTACACTTGCGGCTCTT